GTTGGTTTTTCAGCACTACAAATGATTAATGTTGATGTGCTTAGAAGAGGTGTTGGGAGCTCGGCTGTGAAATTTATGTAATTAAAGTGACTCAGCATTTCCAAAGCCTGGGAGCCTCAGGAAAGGCTGCTTGTCAATGGTTGTGCTTTGTTCTTCTCTTGATGGGCCTGTGGGAACCTGGAAGGGGAGATGGAGCCGCTTTAAGCATTGGCTATTGCTGTTCTTGTTGCTTACAGCTTTTCAGTGTCACGTTCATCTTTTCCTATGTGCCCTTAATTAAATGTAGATATGGAAATAGCTAAAACGTGTTCTTCCAAAGGCGGATGAAGATTCTTCATTGGTGCCTCCCGGTCTTGGAAACGTTAGCACAGTAATAACTCTGATGCACAGCTCTGAGGCTGGGCATGCGACGTTCCTTTGAGGGTTTATCTCACTTCTTTTGGAGCTGGATGAGGCTAAAATAAAGTGAAGATTGGTATCGATTGTGTCATTCAAAACTAAAGTTCTATTTTGCATCACGTGGAAAAAGGAGAGAAAATGAATCTCGAGGAGTCTGCTGTGTGTGCAGCCTTCTGCTAGGCTTGTTTCAGTTTTAGGGCTTAGGTTACCAAGAAAGATCAGAATTCATCAAGTGCCTGGTTCTTTTTAAAAAATACATAAATATAAATTTTATACACACACACACACACACACTCTGAGTGGCCAGATTATTATGACCACCTGACGTTTATAGGCAAATTAGCTGTACACTGCATCGTATGGGATATGGAAGCTGAAGTCCTGTTCGAACATCTTTGCTGTCTGCAGTTACCAAGATAAAACATCTCCAATTCACATAGGAACACAAGGATTGGACAGTCGAGCATTGGAAAAAAGTCATGTGGTCTGATGAATCACATTTCCAGTTGCATCATGCAAATGGCAGAGTGAGAATTTGGCAGCAACAGCATGAAAGCATGCACCCCACATGCATGAGTACAACCCCTCAAGCTGGTGGGGGCAGTGTTAAGGTTTGGGGCATGCTTTCCTGGCATGATTTGGGCCCTTTAATTCATGTGGAACAACGTCTGAATAGCACAACATACCCAAGTATCCTTGCTGATCAAGTTCATTCTATCATGTTGATGGCGTATCCCAATGGAGATGGCTTCTTCCAACAAGACAATGTGCCATGCCATGGTGCTCGTATTGTGCAGGAGTGGTTTCAAGAACATGAGGGAGACTTTACCTTGCTTAGGTGGCTCCCACAATCACCAGATCTCAATACAATTGAGCATTTGTATGACAAAGTTAAAAGAGCCATCAGGCAGCTGGTTCCACAACCATCAAATCTCACAGAACTGGACAGTGCTATTCATCAGGCATGGTGTCAGATTCCTCGAATCACCTTTCAACATCTTGTGGAGTCAATGCCAAGAAGAATCGCCGCAGTATTGAAGACAAAAGGTAGCCCAACGAAGTACTGATGGGGTGGTCATAATAATCTGGCAACTCTGTGTGTGTGTGTGTGTGTGTGTGTGTATAGTATGTATATATATGTATATATATATTATATCCCACGTTCAAAGGCTGTTAAATCGCGTTGTTTACCCATATCTTCAGAAAAAAATCACTTCTACTGTCGTGGTAAACAACCTGCTTCCCTATTTATAATGGTCTGGCCCTCTAGCAACTTCAGCGTGAAATTATAGCTAATTTGCCTACAAACGTCAGGTGGTTATAATAATCTGGCCATGCAGTGTATATATCAGAGAGGAAGGAAGAGGGAGGGAGAGATAGAAACATCAATGATGAAAGAGAATCATTGATTAGCTGCCTCCTGCATGCCCCCTCCACCACCCTCCACTGGGGATTGAGCCCACAACCCGGGCATGTGCCCTGACCAGGGAATCGAACCATGACCTCCTGGTTCATAGGTTGATGCTCAACCACTGAGCCATGCCGGTTGGGCCAATGCCTGGTTCTTACATGTCTCTAGCACAGGATAACTCCAGGGGGCACTCTGGGTGTTTTGAGCAGGAAAGTTATTGTATGGGACTGTGCCCTGACTTGTGGGGTATTTAGCACTCCTGACCCCCTGCCCTCTCAGTGCCAGTAGTTCTCAGACATTGTAACTGTCAAATGTACCCACTGCTGGTTCAAATGCCCCCCCTAGCAGGGCAGTCCTGTTGCTGGCACTGGCAATAGGCTCTCAATAAATACTGTTTGAATACTTTTCAGAGAGCAGATATGTGGGTTCCATCTCTGGGCATGTGCCTCTGTTGTAGTAGACTAGACGGTTCTGTAAGTCAGTTTTGTGTTTTTATTAGCTGAGATTTACATAATATTTAATGCCTGTGAAGTAACAAGTATTTATCCTATTCAATAGCATTGGAATAAAGTTAGCTCTTTTCGTTGATTAAAAACATGTGTATCCCATATAGGCGATGGCTTAATTTTACTTACCTTTTCCTCTTACGCATTATTTCATCATGCATAATAGTCAAGAACATATGTATTGTACATTTCCTCATTCCATTTTCTTCTTTATTTTCAACACATTGTTTTTCTAAGACAAGATTTTATGGTAGGAATTTACAGAAATGCTGATTACAACAAATAGCTTGAAGTCCACTTCTCCCTCGCTGTTAGCATCTCTACATATAGCTGGCTGTCAAAGAGTACATAAACATTTCATTTTTTTAAGTGAAATTAAACCAGTTGGTAGTATTTCTTGGCAAACCTAAATGGATACTGGAGGTATTATTCTTTGCTAAGTCTTAGCCATATAATGCTAATCGAGCATAATGACTTCTGTAGACTTAAAGGTGTCATAAATGCACCTTTGAAAGGTCTCTTGCATTTGAGTGACAGAAGAGTGAGACTGGGGAATCATGCACGCATGCATCCATTCATCCAACAGATATTTACTGAACTTGGGAGATATTAGTGAAGAGCACAGATATAATCTCTGCTTTCACCCTAGCACAAATGAACATAAGGAAGAAATTACAAGTTGGGTTGGAAGGGGTAAGTGCTATGGAGAAAAATTAGTTGGTAAGGAGGATAGGCGTGCCAAGGGTTGGACTGGAGGTGCAATTTTAAATTATGTGGTTCCAGAAGCTTTCTTCAGAAGGTGGCTTTAAAGCAAAGACCTGAAGGAGAAGTGAATACTTATTGAGCCCCTGTTATGCCTCAGGTACCGTTTCAGGAGCCCGAATGGCTAGGTGTAACCTCTGTAATCTGCAAAAAATAATATGCCTGCCCAAAGGGTGGATGTCACATTAAGGGGAGATTGCGGCAAACCTTCTCTGAGCAATATGTTCAGCATTGATTTTTTAAAAAATATCTTTGAAAATGGCACCTATTTTGGGAAGTAGGATTGCAGTGGATGAACTTTTCTTTTTTTTTTTTTTTTAAAGCAGACAAATACACAGACTGCTAGAAAACCACAAGTCTTTGTTTTCAAAAGGAAATAGAAAAATAAGGCTGAGCATGGAATGCATTTTGTGTCCAAGTCCAGTGGTCCAGACAGAATGGTTGCTTCTCCCCAGCTGGTGACATCAGGATGGTGACCGGCATCTTGTGGGGATGACAGTGACAAAGCAGGAGATGTGGCTCAGATTAAGGATGGTTTTTGTGGGGGAGCTTAAAGAACAGAGGAGTGGGGTCAGGAGTTGGTCCCTGCTGCTGATGCTGACCGGCCCTGGGTCTTAGGCAGGTTGGGGTAGCTCCTGACTTTTCAGAATGACTGTTAATGTGTAATTTCTGTACACCATCTTGTTTAGTGAGATAAGTTGTAAGATAGGAGGAGGGAGATGAACTTCACAAGATAACCAGTAAAGTCCTTTTCTAGTTCTTGAGTTCTTCTCCTTGATTTGTCAGTTGAAGATACAATTAGACCAGTAGCTTAGGAATTGAAGCCAGGCCAGAAAAGATGGTTGTTTAGGGGTTCTCAGCTTCAGCCGTGTAATAGGGCTGGCTCTGGAATCCCTGGGTGTTCCTTCCACATGGCATCTTGCGTGATGTTAAGAAAGTCACATCCTATTTGGCATTTTGGGGGCTGGCACGGTTCAGTGCTGGCTTTCCTCCGATCTCACTCATACAAATGGCCAGCCCTAGATTTCACTTCTGTTTCTTGAACTCCAAAGAGACTGCCATGGAGTTAGTAATAAGAGCTGGAGGAAAAGCAAAGTATTGACCTTGATCTAGGCCCGTGGTTGGCAAACTGCGGCTTGCGAGCCACATGCGGCTCTTTGGTCCCTTGAGTGTGGCTTTTCCTAAGCCTTAGGAGTACCCTAATCAAGTTAATAACAATGTACCTACCTATATAGTTTAAGTTTAAAAAATTTGGCTCTCAAAAGAAATTTCAATCGTTGTACTGTCGATATTTGGTTCTGTTGACTAATGAGTTTGCCAACCACTGCTCTAGGCAAAGCCCAGTTCTTCCACTCTCTCAAATAGCCTTCCATAGTGAAAGAACCTCAAAGATGGTCACAGGGACTTCTACCTGTAATGGATTTATTATTGACTGATGACCCTAATGGTCCCTTTCAACTCTAAAGTTCTAAAATGCTCTTGAGATCAGAGCTGAAGATGTGTGCTTTCCGATAGACAGGTTTCACCTGGGCCTACATTGTCAGAGGACTCGTGTACTGCCCAGCCATCGTGGCTCAGTGGTTCAGCGTCGAACTGTGAACCAGGAGGTCACGGTTCGATTCCCAGTCAGGGCACATGCCCAGGTTGCTGGCTCGATCACCAGTGTGGGGCATGCAGGAAGCAGCCAATCAATGGTTTTCTCTCATCATTGATGTTTCTCTCTCTCCCTCTTCCTTCCTCTCTGAAATCAATAAAAATCTATTTTTTTAAAAAAGGATTCATGTACTGAGCACCATCTGAGCTGACCCTGACAGCAGTCATCTGAGTGATGATGGTTTCTCTTTCCACTTTCCTCCGACTTTTCTCCGGTCCTGTGGTTTAAGCTCTAACTCTCCCCTCCTTGCTATCTTCCCATTTTGTAGGTGATGAACCAGGTGGAAGGCCAGCAGAAGAACCTTGTGCACGCCATCGAGTCTCTGCCGGGTTCCGGCCCCCTCACTGCCTTGGACCAGGATCTTCTGCTCCTGAAAGCTACCTCCGCCGCCACCCTCAGCTGCCTTGGGGAGTGCTTCAACCTGCTGCAGCAGAGTGTGCACCAGGTGGGCCAGTCCAGCCACAAGCCAGTGGCCTCAGGTGAGACCTCCCAGCGGGCAGTTCTGTGCTTGCAAATGAGTCCTATCGAGAGTGTGTGTGTGGGTGCGCACCCCATTGCCTTCCTCCTTTACACTCATCTCTTATCCATCATCCATCCATCCATCCATCCATCCATCCATCCATCCATCTTTTTATCCAAGTGTTTCTCCATTTACCCCTCCCGCCCCTTCCCTACCCAGTATGGGATATTCTGTTCTCTTACCAATTAGAATTATAACATCCTATGAAACATCTAACTAACATGTTTACAAGAACTCCTTTTAGACTTGCTGGCATCACATTCTCAATCTCATTCCACTTGTGATGTTGCACTTAGTGTCATGTGTTTAAAATCCATCGTTAGGCAGCATCTGGTCCATTATTTCCAACGAGGCCTATGGTGTGTTCCGGTCCATTATTTCTAACGATGTCTATGGTGTCTGTCCACCACATTTTACCCAACACTCTCTGATGATGGACAGGCACATGGCCTCCTGCTCTCTGCACCTCTCACCTCGCTGCACTGAGCCTCCTCCTGCATGTCCCCTTATGGACCTGTGCGAGAATTTTCTGGAATACGTACCAGAAGCATTTCTAGTTCTTTATCTAGAAGCCAGAGACAATAATCCACTCCCTTAAGATGCCTCAGTCCTTATTGGAGGAGGGTTTAATCAATAAGCAGATATAAGTATATTGGTGAAGATTAAGTTCAGTGATAAAGGTGAAACTAGCTTGAGGTTGGCCATGCCGTATTTAACTTGTAAAGCATTAGAATTAAGAGACTCACAGAAGCTTCACTGAGCTTTGTTGACTGGGATTAACTTCCTTAATGAGGAAACGAGGCCAGTTGAGAGATGAAAAGTAAAGCTGTGCTATGATGATGGTCCATATTTCATACTTTTCTCAAGTCCCTTTTGCTCTCCGTTTTACTAAGATTAAAAGGGATGTCTGTTTTCCAGAATAGATGGTGTATAGGTCATTTAGGTTTCTTTCTGTAGCACCCACTATCATTTACTGAGGTTTGATTCTAGTGTTTGGCCTTTGCCACATATTTTCTGAAATCTTCACAAAGTGGATATTATTATGCCCATCCTATGGATGAGATGCAATGAAATTACTTGTCCAAGGTCCCCCCGCTAAGAGGCGAGAGACGGGTGGGGGCTTGGGCACAAGTTCAGAGTGAGACTGGAGCGTCCCAGGTCCCTACCGTCCCTCTCACACTGTAGCATGACTTTAGCCTCTGCAGCCCAGGAGGCACCTTCCAGGAGTCTTTCACTGGAAATGTGAGCTTGAACCTTTTCTTTTTCCTAAACTTCATCCCTTACTTCGTTCCTCAGGGATGGTTTCTACCTAATTTCTATCTTTTTTTTTAAAAACCCTGGTTTTCATTGGGTATTTTGTGTTTTTAAGGACCTGGAGGGACAAAGCTCAAGGTGGAATTTCAGATATGCTGACAGGTTGAAATGGAAACTGTTTGAGAGAAGGAGCAATTATGCCACCTATGGTGTCATAATTCTTCCCTGCCCCCTTTGTCCAGCCTCCCTTCCTTTTAGCCATTTTTGTTGAGGAACTTGGATGGAGATTGGGGAACACAGGGAGCATGGCATCACAGTGGTTATTGTATTTGTTTTCTTAACTCTTTTAATTCAGTTCTATATAACACAGCCCCTTAAGGTTTAAAGCATTCTGCATGTGTCCTTTAAATCTGTGCCACACTTCCCTGGCCCGTGTGGCTCAGTTGGTTGGAGCGTCGTCCCGTACACCAAAAGGTGGTGGGTCCGATTCCTGGTCAGGACACATGCCCAGGTTGTGGTTTCGATCCCCGGTCGGGGCATGTGTGAGAGGCAACTGTTCACATCGATGTCTCTCTCTCTCTCTCTCTCTCTCTCTCTCTCTCTCTCTCTCTCTCTCTCTCTCTCTCTCCTTCTCTCCTTCTCCCCCTCTCTAAAAAAATCAAAACAATAAAATCAATAAATAAAATTTTAAAATCTGTGCCACACATTGAGGGAAAAAAAATGAATTAACTCCCTGCATCCAAAACATCATAGTTGCCTGCAGTTAAACCTGAATTCCAGAATCTCAGACTAGTGGAAGAAGAGACTATGATAACCCTGGGGGTGTCATCACAAAATACATTTGTTTGGAATCTCAGGGTTCTTGAGGTGGATGGCAGCTCTAGCAGCCCGACTCCCACTGATAAAAACATAACGGTTCTATGTAAGGCGTGCCGGGCTGGGCTAGGCTGGGCTGATGGAAATCAAAATCTCATTAAAGCTCAACTCTGCCAGGGTTTCCTTTACATATTCAGCGGGCAGGGAGGCCCAGATCGTCCCCCGCGTATCGAATATCCAAGCGCTTCGTTCTCGCTTCAAGTCTTTCTGCCTTCTGACCCCTGCACTGTTTTTTTTCTTCTGTCCCTTCTCCAAATCAAAAATTAATTTGTGGTCTTGTAGTATTTCATCTCCTGTAGCATTTCATTGTATCTTCTGGGAAATGCGTAGTCGTTGGAGCCTTGGTCTGCAAACGTTGCTTCCTGATGCTCATTTCATTTCAAGCACACTGAGCACCTGGACTGAAATCCAAAAATACGTTCGTATTCATCTGCCTCCCACCTATGTGTTTGGGGATCCTAGACCTGTCTCTGATGTTGTCTCTAAGATACAGTGAGCTGAAATGCCTCATTGAACTTCTGTTTGTGGAAAGGCTTGCAATTAAAATGAATAAAGCTGCTCGGCTTTTTGGTCAAGGCTTATGTTATGTGGCTTTCTTGTGCTCCTGGTGATTTCTAAATCTATTTCAGCAGCTTGATGGAGGCAAATGATTGATGAATGTAGGGCAAGCGGCCATCTCTCTTCCCAGCTGAGATGCAAGCCTCCGATTCTATGCAGAAAGGCACGCAGGGCTGCATCAGAACTGGAAAAGGCTGTGCTACTTGGGAGTGTGGGCCTTTTTTTAATTCTTGAGACAGGAGAGAGGGGAGGGGGGAAGGGGAGAGAGGGAGAGAGAATGAGAATATTAAAATTTTACATAACAGGATTCAACAGGGTGAGGATTAGGGTGAGGCAAATGAGATAAAGTCCTGTACTATTTGGGGGGACATTAATTTTTATTTTAAAAATATTATGTGAAAATATCATTGATCTGATTACTGAGTGTCTTGGGGGCTCTTTACATTTTACATCTGATGGGAGTGTCTTTTTACTTTAGCCTAGTACCAGCCCTGCTCAGCTCTGTTTAACTGGGTTCATTGCTCACCACTAGTCCTTTTATATGTGACTTCTCCAGCCTTGAGTTCCTAATTCTGCCACTTTTCATTATGTATTGGTATATGCCCTCCAGAAGTGTCTTACCCACCAGAATGTTGAATGTTTTCTGAGCCTCTTCAGTGCTGCTAAAAAGGCACAAAGTGTAGAGTTTAAGGGTCTGGGCTCTGATCTTAATTCCACCACTTAACTGGCTCTGTGCCTCTGCTTCTTACCTGTCTTTTGGGCATAATAGTAGGACTTGCCTTATGGGTTGCCTTAGAATTAGATGAGTTAACACATGTAAATTGTATAGCCCTTGGCACCTAGCGAGAGCTCAAGAAATGTGGACTCTTTTTTAGCAGAGGGAAGATCATTTGGCCGAGAAGGAGCATTATCCCCCAAGCCCTTCACCCCACCCCCAATCTATAGATGTACTCGCATTTTTCTCTTCATCTATTCATTTTCTGGCATTTAGTGTTGTAGCAAAATTCAAGACTAGTTTGATTTTTTTTCTCCCCTTTAAGACAAGTCTAATTTTTCTGCCTAAATAATTGAAGAAATTTTTTCTCTTGATTTTTGTTATTTAAAAATGTGGCCAAACTTCATGAGCGAGGCATTCATTAAACTGTTCTCTCTCTCTGCTTTTGCATGTGTTTGAAATTTCAGTCCCAAAAAGCCTAAGAAAGTATTGCCAAGCTCTGGCTGGAATGCGGTGGACTGTTTCAGCAGCACCCACAGCTCTCTCTCCGGCTCAGGCTCCGTTTCCCAATTCCTCTCGTTGCTTATTGTTTCTGCTCCATCCATCTGATGTCTACCCTTCAGGGTCTCTTGGATCTCTGTTGTGCACGTCTCTATTGTCCCCTGTCTGATCGCTGTCTTTATGCCCTTTGTAACTGCACACCAGTAGAACTGCCTTATTTGACTTTCTACAGCGTCGAGTCGACTTTTTTCTAGTTTCAGGGTTCCTTTTAATTATATTAATTTCATTTCCTCGTAATAATTCCACAGTGCATTCATCTCCTTTTCCACCTCAGCCAGCTTTCTTCTTCTTACTTCCTGTTCTTGTTTCATAGAGGCAATTTCATCCTGTCTTGTGCTGTGGATACACTTTTCCTTATGTCTTCTCTGACACCTGTTAGAAATTTCAGAGAGATATTCTTCCTGGTAGCCCTCTGAGGATACTGTTACTCTTCACAGTCCTTTCCATTCGCTCTGTTAGAGTTTTCCTCCTTCATCCTCATATGACACCAGTCTATCCAGACTCCCCACCCAGTGCTCATTTATCAGAGGAGCTGAAATGGTCTGAGAAGGGCTTCTCTCCTGTCCTTACTCGATGGTTCCTTGGTACTCTGAATCCACAGAGTATACAAAAAAACTACATTCCCCAGCATGCATTGCTACCTTTCATCTCCCATCCTGGCCTTTGTCTGTCCCAGGATGCAGGGTATCACTGCCTCTACTTCTTGCTCTGCTGTCTTCTGGTTATTATCTCATGATAGTGGGATGAAGGGGAGGGAGGGACAAAATTGAGGGGTGGGGGTAATGGAACATTCTCCTGTCTGCCTAGACAAGAAGATCTTATTCTTTCCCCCATGCTTTTTAAGCTTTCCTAATTTATCTAGAGGACATGCATTACTTGTGTAATAAAATAAAACGTTAAAAAAGTGGTACCTCCGTATTGATGATCTGAATGCAACTCCAGGACTCTGGGCAGGAGTTGGTCAGCAGGACCACTAAGAAGCATTTTTTCACCTTTCTTACGGCAAATTCTGCTGTCTCACACCCACGTCTGGTCTTAGGTCGTCCTGCAGCAGTTGACTGTAGTGTTGTGAGTTTTCACCTATTTTAAATGACATCAAGGACTGCTATATGGATGCCTTTTGCCTTTAAAAAATTGTGGTAAAGCACACATATCAAAAAATTTTCTATCTTCACCATTTTTAAGTATCTAGCTCAGTAGTGTTTAAAACATTCATATAGTTGTGTGAGCAATCGCCAGACCTCTCCATCTTGCAAAATGAAACTCTATATCCATTAAATTATGACTTTCCATTCCCCCTCATTCTCAGCCCCTTGCAACCACCATTCTACTTTGTCTTTCTTATTGCCATTTCTTATTTATTTTTAACTTTTAGGAGGTTGTAAAACACACCTTTTTTTCTTTTTTTGGAATTTACTACCTCTGAAAATCTTAATAGTTATTCATTCACTCTGCACATACAGGGTGTCCCAAAAAATGTATGCACAGTTTAAAGCTGGTAACTCAGTTTTGAAAATGAAATGTATTTTAATAAACCCTACCTTTATAAATATGCAAACTGTGTGTATACATTTTGGCGGGGGGGAAGCACCCTATATTTATTAAGTGTACACCCTTTGCTAGATCATGTTGTAGGTTCTAGGAACTCACCCCTAATGCCTTCGCAGGCCAGACCAAATGATTTCCAGGGCCTTATACTGTCCCTACCCCTGTTCTAGGGCCACAGCCATAACCGAGGGCAATACGTCCCTGCCTTCAAGGAACTGACCTTCCAGGGAGGAGAGAACAACGCTAGTTAAATAAAAGAGCAGGGTGAGTTCAGATGGTGCTAAGTGCTTTGAAAACAGTAAACTCACTGACGTGACAGGGAGTGCCTTTAAGTGCTGCTGTGGCCAGAAAGGTCACAGGGGGCTTCGCTGAGCAGATGACATTTAGGCAACCCCTGGATTTATGCAGGACACCTCTCTCCCGCACATAGGCCTGGAGGGGTGGCACTCCGAGCAGAAGGAACAGCACACACAAAGGCTCTCAACTAGAATGAACTTGGCTCACTGAGGAGTGGAAAAATTATCAGCGTGGCTTGAGGATAGAGAGCAACGCAGAGGGAATGAAATGAGGCTGGGCAGTCTCGCAAGGCAGGCGGTTTAGATTGTGTTTCAGTTGCAGTGAGAAGCCACTTGAGGCTTTTAAGCAGCGGGCTTATATGATACAATGCTTGACATGAAGGCAAGATTTCTGCATAAAAATATGTTGGCTTGGATGATATTGAACACACTCAGATACAGCCCTTGCAATGGCCTCTGTTACTGTGTTTTCATCAGCCGGACCCCCTCCTGGTATTAAAAGTTTGGGATATTTGTAGATTTTCCTTTGAGTCACTCTAATGAAAAGGCTGAGGCATCTGATTGCTTTATGGATAGAACATCTACGATGCTGAAAGGTTGAGTTCTTGTCCACACGAGGCGGTCTCCACTTCAGCCAACAGTTTTCTTCCTCACTTACCCCTACGTTTACTCTGAAAACAGAATCTTCGGAGGGTAGGCCAGCTGAGTTTGAGACATGCTCTCATTCTAATGGCAGAATTGCTATTAAAGGGGTAAAAAACAAAAAAAATTAAAAAACCCCACCTCTGGTTATGCCTGTCCCCAATTGTAAGCATGTACAAATATTCTGTAATAACACGTGACTCTGAAAAAGACATTCGCATTAGAAAGCCTGTTTTGTCAAGGATTGGGAGAGGATTAGAAAATGCTCTCTGTTTACCAGATTGATGCTTATAAAGTGTTTTTTGACAGACTGGAATGACTACATCTAAGCTGTGGCCATCATATCAAGTGACGTTCACACCACATTTTGAGCAGCCCAATTTGATTTTTGATTTTTGATTGTAAACATTAACATTTTTTTGTTGTTGTTACAAAAAGAAGAGAAACACCTTTAAGAAAATATGGCTTCTGCCTTGGCTGGGTGTTCAGTGGTTGGAGCATCATCCTGTACACCAAGAGGTGGCGAGTTCAATTCCCAGACAGGGCAACATACTTAAGTTGTGGCTCTGATCCCTGGTTGGGGCACAAACGGGAGGCAAATGATCAGTGTTTCTCTCTCACATTGATGTTTCTCTCTCTCCCCCATTCCTATCCTCTCTCTCTCAAATCAATAAACATATCCTTGGGCAAGGTTTAAAAAAAAAAAGAAAACATAACTTTGGTAAAATGTCAATTGTTTGTGTTCAAGGCTGGGGAGAGAGACAGCCTGTGGTGATTCTGAGACTGTCATTACACAGAAGCGAGCTTATCCATAGACAATCTGAATCTACGCTTGGTACTCATTCAAAACAAGCTTCACTTAAATCCACCAAAGGCCATTCAGGCGTGGGCCCATTTCAAGTCAGTCTCTGTGTACAACCAGGTAGAAATATTTCTTGAGCTGTAAATGTTTAATTTGGAAAATACTTGGCATCAATCTAGGTCTTTATTTCAGAAAACATCCTGGGATGGCCCGGGCCCAAGTCACATTCCACAGAGCAGCTGAAAAATGGGACATTTGGCTCTTTGCCATCCGCCAGTGCCAACATAACCTGGGCAATTTTACCCAACACTGCTGAAGATGAACAAGCCTTACAGCCAGAGGTAAGCGAGCCGCCCTCTCTCAGCACTCCGTGGCCTGTGTTATCGCTTGTTCAGAAATATGGTAATTATATTTGTAACTTGCTCATCTCTCCGTTTTAAGAGGAGACAAATTATAAAGCGAAATGTTGCCTGGAGAGACAAAAACCAGCCCTATGCACGCACGCCTGGCACGTCTGTTCTCGTGTCTGGCAGCTGCCGTGGGTGAATAGTGAGCCTACCAATGAGGCATCTCCCCTTTTCATTGAAACGGGAGTCATTTTAACTTCAAGTGGGAGAACTTCTCACACGCCCATTAAAATGATGCCTGGTGACATGACGGGAGCAGTTACAATATATTCTGTCACTCCCCCGGATAATGGCTTCTTTGTGTGGTTCGTGCTGAAGATCCTGCCTCACATGCTCGACTCCCGCATGCTACAGACCCAGGCCAGGGTCCAGGGGGCAGCGGCCGAGCCTCCTTCCCGGCGTGGCACTGCAGCCCAGGTCCAGTCTGTGGGGGACCCTGCCCTGCCTGGTCAGGAGGAGCAGCCCCTGCAGATCTGAACGACCAGCGAGGCTCTGACAGGCATCATGGACCCAGTCATCCGCCCACACGACTCTCCTGACTGCCTGTGCCTCTCGGTGGCAGCTGGAAGCCAGGTGCTGTGGTTCCTTTTGTCAGTTTCACTTTGTATCAGGAGAAAATTTTGCTTTTTTTCTTTCTCTTTGGATGCTCGTGTCCTGTTGACATGACCCCGTGACCTGGGCCGAGACCCACTTTCACCATGTGTTAAAGGTTATTCTTCATTTTAATTGAAATCGCTTTAGCCTGAAAATTCTAGAACACTCACTGTTTTGTAAGGTTGAAAGGCCCAAGGCAGCTTCTTCAATCAAATGGTCTTGGTGATCAATTGAAATTGTTCGCCAAGCTTCACATGATTGTATTCCAACCGTGTCTTGGTAGCTTAGCTCTTATGGAGGCGGGATCAGCCTGCCTACAGATATTTCATCGCTGTCGATGTGGTGCCTTTGCAGGGTAAGAAATGGATAGGGATTGTGGGATATTGAAAGGCATTGACCTCTACCTGGATAATGAGTTTCAGTTTGAAAACACAGCTGATGTGTAGGCAAACTGGAAGGTAAGTTGGCAACTGAGTAACTTTTAGGAGCCCCACTGTTTTATTGCTCTTTGGAGATACTTGGGTGGGGTGGCCTGTGAGGATGGGGTGCTTTGCTGCTAAAGAGTTTAAAAAATACAATTCCCTTTATTTTCTTGGAAAAGAACCTTTGGGGATTCACACCATAATAAACATATGTAAACTCTTGCTCTAGATAGAAATTTATAGAGTAGAGAAGTAAATTATTAGATCTTAAATAATAATTTTTATGTATTTTTTTATTGTTAAGAGAGGAAAGGAGAGGGAGAGAGAGAGAGAAATGTCAATGATGAGAAAGAATCATTGAGTGGCTGCCTCCTGCACGCCCCCTACTGGGAATCGAGCCCGCAACCCGGGCATGTGCCCTGATCGGAAATCGAACTGTTATCTCCTGGATGATAAGTTGATGCTCAACCATTGAGCCACTTGGGCCGGGCAAGCAATACTTTTTTAGATCCTCCCTCTCGCAGCATTCTCAGGCAAAACCTACTAAGTTTATTTATTCCTCCTGGGCGGGGGGGCGGGGGGGGGTGTCTTCTTATTTTGTGACTCCTCCTTAGTGTTTCCTTTCTTATCCCTGCTGGTTCCTCCTCTAACCCTGAAGTATGAGAGGCCAGGTCTGTTCTTTTTACATAAAATTATGGCCCACCATTCGGTACCTTTGGCAGGAGGTAGTATATAATTAATTGTCCATGAGAAGTAACTAGCTCCCAACTTCAACTAAAAAAAAACAAAAACAAAAACAAAAAAAAACCCTGAACAAGAACTAGGGAGAGCATTTTCCCCTTAAGTTAGGGCCAAACATTAATTTCTGGTTGTCACTTTTGCCCTTACTTCTGTTGTGAAAGCAAAATAAGATATTGTTAGGATTTGATGGGCTGGAATGGGGTTTTGATGGTTTTCTGAGGAGAGAGAATTAGAGTTCTTTTGCAGACTCCCCTCATTTTTTCCAGTGACAATTCTGGGAGATGAGTCTCACAACCCAAACAGCTAGTGCTGCCTGGACGATATTTTTATTTTAGGAGATTGTGCTTTGTTATATATATATTTTAAGAGTTAAAGAAGCTAGCAATATCCACCCAATAGTTTTCCTGTCAGAAAAAGAAAAATATTTCCATTGCCTCCCTTTTGTGCAATTTGGAGAAATAACCCAAGAAGGAAGTGAAATTCCTAAAGGCTAAAACTTCTTTGTGAGAAGGTTCCTTAACCCTTTTGGCATCGAGAATATAGTTACTATGTGAGTGATCACTGGGAAACTAAGATTATGGCTATTATGGTACTTTAGCTAATTACTCTTTTTTTGTTTATTGTTTTGGTCATGGTAGGTCATTAGGAATAGTAATTAGAGATTAAAAGATATCTCCCCGGTGTGTATGTGTACCAGAATGTGTGTGTAACACCACCAAGCAATAAACTCAATCCAATTCTCATTGGACACAGACTGGGTGTCCTCTCTGGAGACAGTGTCAGATCCCACAAAGTGTAAGGGCTCAGTCCTACAAGACTGCCCCTCCCACACACACATACTTCAGATGCCAATCATAACTTCAGTGTCACCTGTGCTTCTGACCAGCCAACTGTAGATCCGAGGTTCCCATGACCCCCTCCTCCGGTTTGACTAATTTGCTGGATTGGCTCACAGAACTCAGAGAAGCATTTACTGGTTTATTAAGAAAAGATAGCCCTAGCCGGTTTGGCTCAGTGGATAGGGCACCAGCCTGCGGACTGAAGAGTCACACGTTCGATTCCGGTCAAGGGCACATGCCTATGTTACGGGCTCAATCCCTCGTAGGGGGTGTGCAGGAGGCAGCCAATCAATGATTCTCTCTCGTAATTGATGTTGCTAGCTCTCCTGCTGGGGTCCAATCCCAGCGGGTCCAGGGGTCCCCAAAGGTGTGGACGGAGTCGGCGAAGAAGGAATGACACGAAGACAGCCTTCAGTTGATCAGCAGCCTAGTCAGGACCTATAGCCAGGATCTCCAGCCAAAGTTCTGGTCGGAGTTCTGGTTAGGAACTGATGAGGATCTGATGAGGATCTGATGTTTATTGTCTTGTTACATCCGTATTTATACCAGCCAATTTTAATCCTGTCAATTTCTATTACAAAGGTTAGGGCGTTTCTTACCTCCATTCCAGGGAGTAAAGATTATGTAGCTTAACTACCCGCCTGGCACTTAATTAAGGGGTTGTATCCCCTTCCTAACCTCAGGGAAAAATCCCCACCTGGGGAAACAACCTTTCTTAGAGAGGTGACCTTGGTTAAAACACATGGCAATAAGGAGAGCTAACATATTAAGAACAATATGCTATATATGCCAGGTCCCTTGAAACATATGCTGTGCAGATGTTTCTTTCCTGCAGTGACTGTGTCAAGCAGCAAGGATGGACCGGCTTCCGGCACTCTCCCTTTCCCTTCCTCTCTGAAATCAATAAAGATATTCTTTAAAAAAGAAAGGATATAATTCAGGAAAAGATGGAAGAGATGCATAGGGCAAGGTTTGGGGGAAGGGTGTGGGGCTTCCCTGCCCTCCACTTGCACCACTCACCAAGGATTCCATGTGTTCACCAAACCAGAAGCTCCTGTTCTTTGCTTAAAGATGGTTGATTAAATTATTGGCCGTTAGTGTCTGAGCTCAATCTACAGCCTTTCTCCCTTCTCTGGAGGTCAGCCGTTTTCATCCTTAGGTCACCTAGGGGCTTTCCGAAAGTTACCTCAAGAACATAACAAAAGATACCTTTATCTCTCTCGTCTTTTAGGAAATTCCATTGGTTTTTGGAGCTCTCTGCCAAGAAAGCAAACAAAGACCAAATATGTATATATTTAAATTATAAGTCAGTGTCACGCTCCCTTCCGCTGCGTCTGGCTTACCATAAAATAACTTACAGGTGTCTGGAAAATTACTGCCTTTTCAAGATTAGTCTGTTTTTAATTCCCTGCAGAATAAAACTCAAAGACCAGTGTGTATTTAATGCATGAGTTAGAACTGTGGTTGGCTCTGTTATCAAATGCAGTGATCTTAAAATTTCATTCTGCTGGGGCTAGAGCTAACTCCATGTGAAAATGCAATATTCTTCCATAATGAAATGAGTCAGAATCTTAGTAGAAAATTTTTCAACTCTTTCGACACCGTTTGAAATTTGTTTAGACAGAAAAAAAGGTTTTTGTTTGCTTTCTTTGTTGAAGAATGCCTTGTTTCAGGACAGGAAGGGCTGTGGTTGGGGAGACACTGAGGATGGGGTCTCTTCTAGTATTGGAACCTCATTCCACCCTCCTGATTGGAAACCTAACACCTCCAGGCCTCAAACTGGCTTACAGCTAGGTTACTAAATGCATGGCAGGTTTCATAAGAGCATCTGTGTGAGGTTAGGAAGCCTGAGATGAAAACCCACCCAGTTCTTCTAGTGACGCTGGCAGGCAAGGTTGTGGAGATGTGAGTGTTTAGAGGCCGTGGCAGTGGCCAGACTCACCAGGACCTTGGTCCCACCTGCATTGGCAGGGGAAGCTGCTGGAGTGGCAGCTGCTTCCTGACATTTGGCTCATGGCTCTTACAAAGGTGTGTCCTTGAATCAAAGAGTCTAAGGGGGACTTCTGCTCCTCCAGATCTGTTAGTGATTCTGTAAGCACCTAATTCCCATATCAAGTCCCTTTTGGATAGAAATACCTGAAGTGGTTTCTGTTCCATGTACTGGACCATAACTGATTGTTGGGCTGTTGGATTAGGAAAGCAGAGGACTGGCCACATGGAGACAATCCTGAATGACAGTGCTCACATGTGGCCATGTAGACCCAGCCTTCTGGAGGACAAATCTGAGGGACAAATCTGATAGATTTTTGAAATAAGGTAATATGCTGTTTTGATCCTT